TTTATAAAGAATATCTCTTTGGATTTGAGACTTTAGTCTTTGCAACTTTACAGATCTTCTTTATGCACCAAGAGCTTGTAACACTCCAAAGAACTTCAAAACTTCAAAAAACTTCAAAACTTCAAAAAATTGAAATCGCATCATATGACCCCTTTAAGTTATTAAAATGTAAAAATGAAACAAATAAATAATTGTAAAATCTAAATAAAACACTTGCTAAAAAGATATTTAATTTGTTTACCTGCACATGTAACCAGTAACCTACATCAGAGAATGGTGAACATGCAAATGTGTGGTTAAATTGTTGAAATATTAACTTCAAGTTGAAGGTCAAAGGGATTCAGCTGACATAAAGTTTGGGAGTCCCTGTATTGGTGCCTCAATGATTAGGTAACATTGAGGAAGAGTAAAATCTGTTGACATTTTTTGCAGCCACCAGTGAATGTCACATGTTTGTGATACTAATATAATCTCCATTCTCCTGATGCACAATATCATTGATTTTTGGGTGGAAATAAGACCCGGACATGTTCTTGATGAGATTCACCCACATATGACAGCAATAAATCACATTGTCATCTGCCTTTGGACACCTCATGTGAAAAATGTCTGATCTAGCAACAGGTTTACTGTGCAAACATATCAACAGTGCTGGGTAGTAACTGATTACATGTAATCTGGATTACATAATCAGATTCCAAAAATTAAGTAATTGCAATTAGACTATGTTTTAAAATGCTCATAATCAGATTACAATCCGACTACATTATCTAATATGTGTAATCCAGATTATGTTACTAACTACAATTTCCCTCATGGACTACAATTTGTAAGTAATCTTCCCAGAACTGATATCATATAGTCTGGAAATACTTTATGTAATGTGTATGGTGCCTTGTGAGCAGTGTCAATCACCAGTTTACAGGGAAATGGATGTATTTCAGTGGGGTAAGAGATTGCTGCTAGCTTGCATCTGATGGAACGTTATTTCTCCTGCTGCCATGCACTTGCATAATGCACAAGTGTTTCTATACGTTTCTTCTGAGGCTTTTATCTGTTTTAATATCTATGCTAAGGGAGGAAGAAGGTGTCTCCTGACAAGATGGTGGAGATGCAAGCTAAGATCGAAGAGGAACGGAAAGCACTGGAGGCCAAACTGGACATGGAGGAGGAAGAGAGGAACAAAGCGCGTGCAGAGCTTGAGAAGAGAGAGAAGGATCTTCTCAAAGCCCAGTGAGTCATTGAATCTGTCCACCAAAACTGTTATCTATATATTATCTATATATAGTGCTAATATAGTATGATTTCAGGAGTAAAACAGTGTCATGCTTTGTGTTGTTTCCTGTATCTCAGACAGGAACATCACTTATTACTCGAGAAGCTGTCTGCTCTGGAGAAGAGGGTTATTGTTGGTGGAGTTGATTTATTGGCTAAAGCTGAGGAGCAGGAGAAGCTTCTGGAAGAATCCAACAATGAACTGGAGGAGAGGAGGAAGAGGGCTGAGCAGCTCCGGAGAGAACTGGAAGAAAAGGAGGTAGAGATGAGCGGATTCATGCTTGACTGATATTCTTGTATAAGTTTATCATAACATAGTGATTCATGTTTGCAAATGTCTTTAAAACAGCAAGAGCGCTTGGACATCGAGGAGAAATACACCAGTTTACAGGAAGAAGCTCAAGGCAAGACCAAGAAACTGAAGAAAGTCTGGACCATGTTGATGGCAGCAAAATCTGAGGTGCAGTAACTTTCATGTAGCTTTCAAATAGCAGAGTTCACATTAGTGTTGTCAAAAGTACCAGTACTTCAGTACCAAGTCAGTACATAAATTAAAAAAAATGTAAGGATACCAGCCTTTCTGCAGTACAGGTAATAACAAGGCGACTGCTTTCAAACGCCCCCACATTTTTGTGAGTGCTCTGTGAAGAGCATTAAACATTTCAATTTGCAACATGTTTTTGCAGCATTGAGCATTGTAGCCAATCACAAGCATGTTTGTTGAACGCATGAACCTAATGGCCAATCAGAGGCTTTTTAAGTCAGAGTTTGCTCAATAGAGCGCAACATTTGGCTTCCGTAAGTAAAAACTCCATTCATTTTCTCTATAAGGAAATTCATTTTTGACAATAAACCTTTAAAGAGAGACCTGTTGTGAGCTCTGAGGTTGTTAATCGATTGTATTTGCTTTTGTTAAACCCATCTTTTTTGCATTCATTCAGAGTGAATGAATCCACCAATCAGAGAGTTGCAGCGAGCAAAGTGAACCAAAGATATCTGTAGCCCCGCCCACTCCCATGAAGTACTGCAAAGAGTTGGTCTCCCCTGATGCTCTCAAAATACTTATATATTTGTGTATATATTAGGGCTATCAATTTGATTAATTGCATCCAAAATAAAAGTTTGTGTTTGTTTACATAATATATGTGTGTACGGTGTACGTATATATACATTTTTATGTGTATATATATTCATATTTAAACATGCTTTATATTATATATAAATACGTATAAGTAAGTATATATTACATATTTCTTAAGTATACACATGTATGTGTGTGTGTTTTTATATACTTAAAAATATAGTGTATTTAAATATACACAGTACACACACATACTGTATATGATGTAAACACAAATGTATTTTGGATGCAATTAATAGCAATTCATCGAATTGACAGCCCTAACATATATATATGCATATGTTGTAATGAACTTGATTAGTTTTATATTTCTCTGTTGTTTTTATTTTGATTAATGTCATTCATGTGTCATTTGATCTTTTAATGCAATGTTTATATAATTGAACAATATTTGAAGGCTACATGCTAATGTTTTAAATAGAGATGCAACAATGTATCGACTAATAATCAGTATCGGCCAATAAAAGCAATTTTTTTTCACTATTGGTCATCGGCCTTTCATTTTAAAAAACAACTGATGATCAGGGCCGATTATATCCTGTCAATCAAAAGGAGGAGTCCAAAATATGTCAGACTGCAACTCATACAGTGTGTGAAGAAAATTTCTTGTGTTGAATCTAGAGAGCTGTCGAAATTAACACGATAAAAACGCATTAACAGATTAAAAAAATTAAAGCAGGCTCTATTTGACCCAGTCAATCACCATTGCCAGATCTGCGTTTTTTCTCAAAACCAAACAATGCGCTTCCCATCCGATAATCACAAAGAGCTTTGTGTTTTGTTACTCTTATAAGAAACAAAGTCTCATTTTTCAAATTCTGTCCATTCTGTCATTAAATTCAAACAATAAATGCCGTTTTGACGCTTTGAAATGTGTCGTGACGGATCACTGTGTAGCAGCTTCAGTTCAGGCGGTTCAAGAGTCTCTTCCACTGTGATACAAGTTACAGCTCAAAATAAACATGAATGAACATCAAAAGGTATACAGTACAACTTACCGACATGTATCACATTTCATGTAATCACTCATTCAGCGTTTCAACCGCGGAAAGACGCCAATAAAACAGCTTGTGAACAGTGTCACTTAAAGTTACAAAGTTATCCACTGTTCACAGTTCATTAGTTCGCTACAAAAAACACTAAAGAGGAGCTCATTTACATTTAATTCTATATGTATGTTTGAATAATTCTGGCATGAAAACGTTATGTGCAACTGAGTTGTATACAGACAATTCAGATTTATTTGAGTGTAATTATTATATCTGAAAATAAATGGCAGTTGAATATAATAGCTCTTTTATAAATTTTAACCTTTAATATAACAGTAATGCACCAAATGAGAAGTAAGTATAGAAGTATCCCAGTATAGTTTATAGCATTAGTTTGGAGAGTTTTTTTTTTCTTAAGAAATCCAAACTATCGGTATCGGCAGATATCATTCTGAATAATCGGCTATCGGTATCGGTGGAGAAATTCAGTATCGGTGCATCTCTAGTTTTATCATATTATGTACTTATAATTATTAATAGAATATTAATATTTTCAAAAAGTTGCATTTAAAAAAAAAACTATTAAAATGATTACAATAGTATTTGCAGTGGTACCGAAGTGATACAGAGAAGTGTTGAGTTTAACTGCTACAGACTACTGAACGTTTGGTATCGTGACAGCACACGATTTTGGTACTCTGGTAAGAATGTCTGTTGTGTTTCAGATGGCTGATCTGCAGCAGGAGCATCACAGAGAGATCGAAGGTCTGCTGGAAAACATCCGGCAGCTGAGCAGAGAGCTGCGGCTACAGATGCTCATCATTGATAACTTTATTCCTCAGGAATATCAGGTCTACATTTATGCTCGTGCACATGCACTCTCAGTCAAAAAATTTGACGAACCTCCTCATTCTTTGTTGACATGTTTTAGAATAACTGTGAAGTTATCAAATAATACCTACAGAAGTGCAGGAATTATATAGTGATCAAAACATGTTGTTGTTGATAAAGATCTCATGCATCAGCTTCATTAAACCACCCTTTTATAGATCACAGGAAAACCCTCCCATATGTCAAAAATCTTTCTCTGACATGTGCATATTATACTGGATTGTGTAATAATTTTTCTAGTTTTATGCTTTTGAAATGTTTTTAATCAAGTTAATCTAAATGTAGTTTTAGACGTCTTAGTAGAATATCATATTTTCCTAAGAAGTCTTAAATATCTTATATCTATCTTAGTTTGTATTTTACACTTTACAGGGTTTCTGCCGGACTTAAACAGATCCTAATTCGCACTTCCACAAAAAAAGGCCTTAAAATACTTAAATCAGAGCAGAAAGTCTTAAATTCATACATTTATGCCATTAAATGTTGCATGTATTGCAAAAATGAATGTCTTTCTCAGTAGTTTGTTTTCCAATACAAATATGTAAACATCCTTAAATCAAGATACATTTACTTGAGATGCAAATGTAAAATTAAGTCTTAAAAAAATGAACAAAATTAAGTCAGTTTATGCTTAAAACAAGAACAAACCTAAGTCAGTGAGGTATGAAAACTTGTTTACCCTTTGAATAAAGTCGATTTTTCCGAGCCCATTGGCAGATATTTGCTCAGTTTTTTTTATTCATGAACTCACTTCATTTTGATTAATTTTACAGAAAATAAGACTTCTTTATTTTGTCATTTTGCTCCAAGTACATGTATCTTGATTTATGAATCATTTGCACTGGAAATCAAGACAAAAATACTGAGGAAGAACATCATTTTTTCGCAGTTTGGTCAGAAGGTACTGTATCAGAAGATATCGTCATGGTCGACAGCAGAGCTATTCAAGCTTTAAGATATTCTTTTTAAGTCATACATTTTTTAAATTAATTTTAAAAGTAATGGATCTCAATTGGAACTTGTATTTTTAAACTTTGATGTGTTGCTAATACAGCTCATTTTTTACTCCCAGGACATTTACATTAAGAGAGCATATTGAAGTATTCAATTAATTCCTTACATTTTCTTTACATGGTCTTAAAAAAATCTTAAATTTACATTAATTTAACCTGAAGAAACCCTGTTTTAATAACAGAAGTATTGTGTTTCTCTCCATTTCTTGTTTCCCCTGCACTAACACCGCACTTAAGGATGCAGCACTTGCATAAATAAGCATGCAAATCATTTTTTGCTTTTTCCACCTTGTCAGGATTTCATTCATCTGATATTTTTTTGCTGATAATATAGTGTGAAATGCTGCACTTGCACAACAAAGGCGAAAAGTTCAAAACTGAGCTGGCAAATAAACTGTACAGAAAGAGAGATTTCACCCCAAACATGATTTTTCTGTCATTTACTCTCTTGATGTCATTCCAAACCCGTATATATTACTTAATTCTGTGAAACATAGAAGATATCAAGTGTGTTTTTTCTTGATCAGTACAATGGAAATCAGTGGTAACCAAAGCCGTTTAAAATATTATTTTTTTCTGCAAAATAAAGAAATTTTCATTTTTGAGTGAACTTTCTCTTTTCAAACAGAATATTACAGTTTAGTGAAATTATGAGTTGTATTTACTTTCTTTGTTTATTTACTCTTAGAGTTCAACATGAATTTCAAAAGTCCCCAAAATAATATTCACAATATCGAAGCTTAATATTTATTTAGCGTTTCAGTTGCACTACTGAAATAATATGACTTGCTGTGTTTGTTTGCTTGGTTTTTAATGTATTTATGTGATATTTGTATTTTTGAAACTGAGTTTTTGCCATGAAAATAGCCTCAGATGCTGACATGGCATTAAATAAAATTATACTACTACTGCACTGCTGAAAACTGCAACCAAAAAAATATTTTTTGGTTGTGTACAGGAGATGGTTGAGAACTATGTGCACTGGAATGAGGACATTGGAGAATGGCAGCTGGTGAGCGTCTTCAACACGTTTCATTCTGCACATCTCTCAGATCTGGCATGATGTTTGGGTGCAATGAAAATGTATAATACAGCTGATCTATTTGCTGTTTTTATTTTTAGAAATGTGTGGCCTACACAGGCAACAACATGAGAAAACAGACACCTGTGTCGGACAAGAAAGAAAAAGATGTAAGTGAGTTAATGCGTAATGCACGCTGCTCCCTTTACAGGTTTAATTTTTGTCCTCTCTCCCTCTTTTGTGATTCAGCCATTTGAAGTGGACCTGTCCCATGTTTATCTGGCCTACACTGAGGAGAGCATGAGACAGTCCCTAATGAAACTAGAAAGGCCTCGGACATCAAAGAGTGGAAAGTCCAGGCCTAAAACTGGTCGTAGGTGAGATGCTTTTTTATTTGTGGACTTTCTGGTTCACGCCTTTGTACACGCAAATGCATCTGACTGTTACAACTGACTGTTAAATAATCCTTCAGTTTAGTTTAATGCATGGTGCATTAATAAGTTGTATGATTTTAGATGTTGTTTAAAGGTATAGTCTATAATTGCTGAAATGGGCACTATAAGCATATATCACAATATGCTGTGTCCATAATTATATATTGTGATATACGTACAGTATATTTATAGAAAAGCCTTTTTTTTTTTTTTTGATTATTTAATTTAATAACAAAGCATGTCTCTTTGGAGTTGAACATAATTGATCCAGAGTCAAAAATGTCAGCATTTCTTTGCACGGTTTAGCATTTTGTGCATTACTGTTAAAAAGTTTGGCGTCTGTAAGTTTTAAAAAAAAATTTTTTTTTATTTTGAAGTCACTTTTGCTTATCAAGTCTGCATTTATTTGATCAAAAATACAATAATAATAATAATAAATATAATATAAATATTAAAATAACTGTTTTCTATGTGAATATATTGTAAAATATAATTTATTCCTGTGATCAAAGCTGAATTTTCAGAATCATTACTCCAGTCTTCAGTGTCACATGATCTTCAGAAATCATTCTAATATGCTGATTTGCTGCTCAAGAAACATTTCTGATTATTATCAATGTTGAAAACAGTTGATCTGCCCAATATTTTTGTGGAAACGGTGATACATTTTATTTTTCAGGATTCTTTGATGAATTGAAAGTTGAAAAGAAAGAAACGGTATTTATTTGAAACAGAAATCTTTTGTAACATTCTAAATGTCTTTACTATCACTTCGGAGCAATTTCAGCAATTATGAATGAACGTGCAATCTTCTGTCAATAATCTAAATGACACATTTGCATGTCTAAATGTCTGTTTTTCCCCAATCGCATTTTTTAGGAAACGTTCATCCAAACCAGAGGCTGTGATTGAATCCCTGCTACAGTGAGCCTTTTGTGAGATGAAGACCACCATATTTTGTGCATTTTCAAGGCCAGTCCAGTATATATCTTAGGAAATACTGATGATAAGGCACTTTGACATAAGTGGATATGAAAATAAATCATGTGTTAATATGCGGGAACTCCAGAGCTGCTCCAATGCTGGGTTTAGGTGAGGATAGTTTGCTGTAAAATGTCTGTTAACGATAGCACTCCAAAAGGCACATTTCACCTTTAACATAAACACTGTTACTGTATATTCTGCTTTACACTGATGGCTGGAGCGAGCAGGTTATTAATGCGACACATGAGATGAGCTTGCCGTCAGGGAATATGCTATTGAGAAACTAATCTAATCTTAATGTTTTATACAGTTGGCAGCGTGCAATTGCTTTAGCTCAATGTACACAAGCTATGCTACTTAATTTTTTTTTTATAGTGAGAATGTGCATGCCATGTTTCCCTGGCTGTGGTGCCATTAGCTCAATTTACTCTAATTGTGATGTATTTCCATTGTGCACTGTAGTAAACCATTAGTCTTATGTAAACATTTTTACATTTGACTGTTTTCCCCCCCTGTACTCTTTAAATTATTAAATTATTTTACAAGGTAAAACATAGTGTTTTTTTTTTATATAATTAATATTTGTCAAATTCCAAAAACAACAAACAACAAAATCTGTTCAGAATACTTTTATTCATAAATACAATAAATATATAAATATGAGCAAATACCTAAATATAGAAAAACATTTAATAGAAAATAATTTTATATTAAATGTAATACAAAAATATAGTATTGTGTTCATAAGCAGTAAGTCTAGAGTCAATTCGGTTGTGTCTTGTTTAGCATTAAGAGTTTAGAGTATTGTTCTTTGCAGCAGTCTTTGATTTTTTTGAGGAAAGCATCCATTCTGTGTTCTTCTGTAGCTGTAACGTTGCAGTGATGGTGCTGTGGAAAAAAAACGCACATTCAGCTCTATTCGAATACATTGAACCTCTTTCATTAAGCAGTCTAAAATCAGTCTATATATCTACAACTGTAGGCAGAGCTAATTCGCTTAAGCTGTAAAACTGTTGTTAAACTGATTATTAAAAACTATTGTGTTATTTCCACTGCATGTGCCACTGTTCGGTCTGTAGCCCTGCGTTAAACCTTAGTTAAGTCAATTGTTAGTTAAGTTGAATGAAGTCAGTCATTAGTTAAGCTTAGTTAAGTCAAGCTTGGTTAAGTCAGGCGTTAGTTATGTTAAGCTTAGTTAAGTCAGTCAGTAGTTAAGCTTAGTTAAGTCCAGCTTAAGTCAGTCGTTATGTTTACCTTAGTTAAGTCAGTCGTTCGTTAGTTAAGTTACGCTTAAGTCAGTCATTAGTTAAGCTTAGTTAAGTCAAGCTTAAGTCAGTCGTTACATTAACCTTAGTTAAGTCTGTCGTTCGTTAGTTACGCTTAATTAAGTCAGTCATTAGTTAAGCTTAGTTAAGTCAAGCTTAATTAAGTCAGACATTAGTTATGCTAACCTTAGTTAAGTCAGTCGTCAGTTAAGTTAGGCTTAGTTAAGTCAGTCGTTAGTTAAGTTTAGTTAAATCAGTCATTCATTAAGTTAAGCTTAGTCAAGTCAGTCATTTGTTAAGTTAAACTTAGTTAAGTCAAGCTTAATTAAGTCAGACATTAGTTATGCTAACCTTAGTTAAGTCAGTCATCAGTTAAGTTAGGCTTAGTTAAATCAGTCGTTAGTTAAGTTTAGTTAAATCAGTCATTAGTTAAGTTAAGCTTAGTCAAGTCAGTCATTTGTTAAGTTAAACTTAGTTAAGTCAAGCTTAATTAAGTCAGAAATTAGTTATGCTAACCTTAGTTAAGTCAGTCGTTAGTTAAGTTAGGCTTAGTTAAGTCAGTCGTTAGTTAAGTTTAGTTAAATCAGTCATTTTTAAGTTAAGCTTAGTTAAGTCAGTCATTCAGACAAGCATTGCTGTTCAATTTGGTGCTACTATTGGGGCAGAAAGAACCCATAGTAGTTAAAATGACTGGAAAAATGGAAATTACATTTGATCATTTCTATAGTGTAAGAATCATGCTGATAGTATCAGCACATAGCATTGGTTTGCACACAGAATGATACTCTAATAATATAGACACAGTATGGTAATCATGTTGTTTCTCATCTAATTCAACAAATTAATATTGTGAGATGACTTACCCCTGAATAATCTGCATAGGCAAACAGTCGTCTGTGTAGCATGCTGTGGTTTAGTTGTGTGTTCATCATGACCATTGCTGCTTGGCAAAGGTGTTTCTCCTGTATAACCGTATGTAATTAATGATAATGAAATCCAGTATCAGGAAAGTATGTTCTGAAAAATCAACTAAAATTAAACTTACCGTGCAGCCCACTGGAGGAAATACATCTTTCACAAATTGGTTGAGATTCTGTGAAAGAAAGTTGGAAGGTTGTTAGACTAAGGAACAGTCTTTGCGAATAAACCAGATTAAATAATACATTTCACTTCTTACCGTCGTTGAACTTGGTTTTAGTTGATTATCCACATCATTCATGATTTCCATTAGGAGATTTTGTCCCGCTTTGTGATGTTTCAATCCAGTAACCGCTACAATTGTCAGCACCAAGAGCATGAAAGTCCTCATGTTGGTCGTATTGATTCCTGTCGAGGTCTCCAGATGCTGAGATGGTCTTCATAGCTTCAGCACTGATCAGTCTTCTTATAGAGCTGAAAGAGGAAGTGACATTCTCCACCTTGATTCTGTTGATTACACGTCAAAAAAAAAAAAATCCCGAAATGCTTGCACACCCCCATAATCACTAATAGAGATTTCAGAGAATCGCGATTACATTGACAATCCCCTTATAATGGAGGAGAAATACACTATAGGCTCACTTTGCTTGAACTCAAAGACTGCTGGGACCATCAGGAATTGCTTAGAATACTAATAATAATAATGCTAAAGTTTAATGCCTATGAAGGGAATCACCCTAACTGCTGCAGTCACTATTTTTAGACATTTGTCTTAAATTAGACACTAATTCTGTCCGGTGTTGCAGCAACAGGTTCCACTAAAGCAACACGAGATTGTCTCAGATTGTTGTCGTCATACGGCTTCATCAGTTGATTTCTGAAGTAACCGTTTGCCGCATCCCTTTGACCTTCTTTCATTTTTAAGCAGATGGACAGACAGACAGTAGGCCTACAGTGATGTAAATGAACCACGGAACTCGCGTCCTCTGAAGACACCACACAACCACAACAGATGACAGCTTTATCAAGCTGTGCCACAGCATCCGCATGTCAGCACATTTATCTAGGTCAGATTTTGCATTATGGGAAATATAATGAGAGGTTACCGTTTTATTTAGATGAAGTCATTTTTTAATTAGGGTGCTTTCAGCTTAAATTGGGACACTTTTTTTTTTGCAATTGAGATGACATGGCAAAATAATGTCCAAAAAATGAACCCTAGACAAATATGAACAAAAGAACAATATCAAGAACAGAGGGAATGTATTGTTGTTGCTGTTGTTTATTACAAGACGTCCTCTCCAATGCAAAAACGACAAGTCAACCAGCAACAAAATTATGAGAATTTTATATATAGACTATAGCGGTTACTCTCTGATTTTATTTTATTTTTTTAAATTTATGTAATTTAAGTATTATCTGTCGATATTGGAAAATTTGTTGAGGGCTTTTGTTTCCCCCTATTTTTAGATTTAAATGGTTTTTAGTCATTTGACACAAACTAAAAGAGAGAACTAGTTCATGGCAATGCTGTTATCATTTACTTAAAAATCTTTCTTTCATTTAAATACAGGCAAAATTAAAATTAAGCATAAATATTAGATTAAAAAACTTAAAAACTAATAACTGAAAATTAAAAAAGTTTAAGTTTAGAGTAGTTTACAATGCTAAAATTAAAGCTGAAATCCTCCTCGCTGGATGTCTAGCGAGGGGGAGCTACACGTTATCAGTTATTTTCTACAACATGAAAATGATTATCAGCTTGTTAGTTTTGGCCAGAATTTGAATACGAGTGCAGCCGGTGACACTGAGAATCAGTCTATCCGCCTTTAAAGATTTTTATGACAAAAAATTATAATATTAAAAATTGCAGTGCTGTAGTATTACTAGTACGACTGTATGCGCGGTGTATCTGCAGAGGGTGCTGTCACTCTACTATCACTTCACATGTTCAGTTTGACACCTGCTGTCACACATCCTACAGCTTCATGACACATGCCATTATTTGTGAAAATGAAAAACGAGAATTGTCTCATATCATTATTACGTTCATTGAAGAACACTAAAGATAAGGCTAACAATTAACAAAGGCTTGCAGTAACTAGTTCAAACTTAGTCTCTGTAATTATTATTTTTTTTTTGTAAATGTGTGATGATATACATTTACATGCATTTTACATTATCATGGATGTTTTTATTTTAACCCCTAAACTTGAGGAAAAGTAAAAGTCATCGGTTAAACTTTGTTTCAATAGTCCACTGCTAACTATAAGTAACTTTGCAGCTACATGTCAATTAACTCTCATTAGAGTATTAGTAGAGTGTTAGGTTAGGGCTAGTAGAATAAAGCTGACATGAACTTGCGAAGTTACTTATAGTCAGTAGAATGTCTGTTTATGGGCCATCAAAATAAAGTGTTAGTAGTCTACTAGTACAAGTGTAAGTAATGCACCATTTTATGAAACCTGTATCTCTCACCTTCAGGACTTCAGGAGAAAACTAGATCTTATCTGTTAAAACGAGCACAGAAGTGTTAGTAGTCTACTAGTACAAGTGTAAGTAATGCACCATTTGATGAAACCTGTATCTCTCACCTTCAGGACTTCAGGAGAAAACTAGATCTTATCTGTTAAAACGAGCACAGAAAAAAAAAACTGCACACAAACTGAGCATTTTTAAGACAGATGACGCAATACTAGTATTTTCTTTAAAAAATGGCTCATTTATGACATTTGTTGAGTGGAAAAAATAACTATGTATTTAATAACAGTCAATGCAATCATGCTTCAGCATTTTTTAGTCAGAAGTGTAGTACAGCTCTTGCTCAGATGTGGCTTTGCATTATGATTCCTATCTCTATTTATAGAAATGCTCCATGCAGTTTCCTGTGTGATCAATGCACTCTGCTGACTTTGCTCTTGGCCTAATAAATCTTAACATAATGCTTCATGTTGATTTATTTAATGTGAAACACCTCGTCATTTATCCCAAGCGATTATAATTACATTTAAAGATGATTAAAATAAATGGAATCTATTTTAGAAATAAATCTTCATTCCTCAAACAATAGAAATCTGTAATGTAGAAACATTTTAAGAGAGTGCTGAATTAAAATCCGCCTTGCCTTTTGTACCTCCCAAATGTGAATAAGATATAAATTAGGTTGACCATACCCAGACGTGTCCTGGCCTGAATTTCTAAAATGCCTAAAATGTGCAGATTTTGACTCTGTTTTCCTTATTGTTCAAACTGCTTTTCAGTCATTACCTGAATGCAAGTATGAAGACAATAAGAAAACAAAGCCAAATTTAGACGATTTAAATAATTATAC